TTTAGTTTCTCATATCAACGCACTTGTAGCAATAGTAATTAAACTTATAGTTGGATAGATAATTAAAAATCAAATTGAATTTTGTAAAATAAATACACTCCAGATCTAAGTGCCATCGGAAATTATTAGAGCATAATTACGTCTAATAAATATAAGAAAGGCCCCCCAAAGACAAGCAAACCAAAGCAATGGAAATGAAAACAACTATACGTCAATACAAAACTGAGAGCTTAGCAGATCCAAGTATAAGTATCCTTTTTAAATCAAGATTAGACCAAAAACTAAACACACTAACACCAACAACAACAACTGATGCCTTATATAAAAATATTACAGAATCACTCCATGCAGCAGCATATGAAGCCCTTGGTATAAAAAGGGAGACAAAGAAACGAAATGACAATATAACATGGAATGAAGAGATGGAAATCATGAAGAACAACAAACAAGAAGCATATAATCGATGGCTAACCACCAAAGACCCTGCAGATATGATCAAATATAAACAAGAACTGGCCAAATACAAAAGATGCATAATAGAGAACAAAAATGATACTTGGGAAAGGAGATGTAATGAAGTAAACACCTACATTGGCGGATCAAGATCAAGAGCAGCTTGGAACCTCATTAAGTCACTTCGCAAAAACAACACAAATAAGGCAGGTATAAATCCCATTGAAATGAAGAAATGGATAGAACACTATTCAAGGGAACTTACAGAAAATCGACAACAATACACAAACACACAGAACCCACAAATATATATAACTGGACCACAAATAAAGATTAAAAAAGGCATGGTGGGGAAGCACATTAAAACGTTAAAATCGGGAAGGCATTGGCCGGGAGATGGCCCGAACTTTTTAAACATGGAACGGACAAACTTATAACCGCGATTACTGAACTACTCACTAGGTACAAACGGAGAAAGGATCCCAGATAAATGGAAGGAGGCATGGATAACTCAATTTATATAAGAAAGGTAGCGGGAATCTCCAAATTATAGATGTATGTCAGTCACAGACACATTGAGCAGGATATACAGGAAAGATGCTTAAACAACTGGTAGAGAGAAGGAATATAGACCAAACGAGATAGAAGAGCAGAAAAACCTTGAGCTTCCGGAATGGAAGGTGTATGTATTGATCACGTATTCCTTTTATAATACACGAAAAACGGGCAATACCAACAGAGAGTCGCATCGGCGTAGATCTAACAAAACTGACACAATACCATGCAAAACTATAGGAGTACTTAATGGGGCACAGATTAATACCACCATCATCAGAGCAATTCAACAACTGCGACGGACTTATCAAAATTAAAACTTGGAAACAGATATCTACCCACTTCCAGGTGTCAAAGGCATGAGGATGCTGCCTATCCACCCACCCTATTTAATATATACATAAACAGAGCACTCAAAAACTGGAGAAATCAGTGCCATAGGATGGGCGTATTAAGAACTAAGTGGGGACAGGTCTAAGTACACTTCGCTGATGATCAGGTGGTACTCATATAGAAAAAGGGAAGAAGATCACAAATTCATGACGAGAAACTGCTAAAGGCCTACGAGAAATGGGGCTTAACAGTAAACCAGACCAAAAACTAAATATCTCTGTGTAGGAAACCAAGATGAAACACATTTGCAGCTGGAAGACGGAAACGTGATTGAAATCTGTCAAGGGTATACATACTTACAGGAATTAACAATAACAACAAGCGGTAGAACAGAGCCAGGAAATAAAGAACAGAATACAACAGGGCGAAGGGTGGTTAGGTGGCATAAGGACAATTGCGGAAACATACTCAAAACAAATGAGCAATTTTTACGGTTTGCAAAAGGATATCTGGAAATTTATTAGGCGTGGGATGGGGCTAAACGAAATTATCAAAGCAGAAAAGCGATTGGCGATGACATTGGGTAAAATATCTAAGCACACTATATTCCTCGAATAGCAGAAGTGCCAGCGATAACACCACAATATCCCAGATACACATAAGGTCAGCAGAAGTTACGAACATTGACCAGGACGATGTTACCAACGCCCTACGAAACCTAAAAAACCGCAAATCAGCAGGGAGAGACCAAATACCTAACGAGCTTTAGCAAATATGGGAACTGCATTGATAGAAGAAATTGGCCAAAAGCTATTCTCACAAGATTTAAGAACCGAAAATTTAATAAAACCATCCGCAACCAGCCCACTCAAAAAGCATCAACAAAAGCAACAAAAGCATAAATCATCACTTCAGCGTATTATATTTAATGCCAATGCCATAAATACACCAGCATCAGCTAAGCATCGCCTTTTGCGAACGTGCTGCCTTACTTATCGCGCACAGCAAGGCGACCTGCAAAGGAAATACTACACATTTTTGAAACAACTGCTAGGAACATTGCGCGAAAATATGCTTTATACAAACTAATAGCCTTGTACACTGCGAAACCAACAAAAGGTACAGAAACTAGAAGTGGAAAGCAAAATCACTTAGAACAGGTATGCAGACTACATGGCGAAATCCCCACCACTAACTATAGTGACTGTATGCAAGTACTCAACAAACAATAAAGCAAACAAAATTGCTGGATGCCTGAAAGGACCCATACCTACGGAACGGCGCTATCCAAACAAGTTCGCGGAAGAATATATAAAGCAGTGATAAGGCCAATAATGACATACACCTCGGATACACGAGCAGACACCTCAAAAATCAAGAGCTTGATGGAGACATCGGAAATGCGCCCGCTAAGAACAATAGAAGGTACAACTCTCAGGGACAGAATACCAAGTAAGCAGATTAGAGAGAGGTGCGAAGTAAAGGAAATCAATGAGTGGATACAACACAGAAGGTCAGAATGGAACAATCACATCAGTAGGATGGAGACCACAAGAATAGTCAGAGTAGCACGCGACAAATCGCCACAAGGGCGCAGGTCGCTGGGAAGACCTAGGAAAAGATGGTCAGATGTAATACAATGAAGAAAAACAGGCTATTGCCTACATAAGAGAAGAAGAAGAAGAAGATAGAATATAGATGAATTAGTAATCTATAATATAAAAATGAATCGCAAATTGTGTTGTTAACCGCTTTACTCAACAACGCCTTAACCAATTTGGCCAAATCTTTGTTTTTTTAATGTTCGTTAAAGTCAAAGGGAGGTTTTTACGGTGAGAAAATTTTGAATAATTGCCGGGAAAATGGGGAAAAGCTGAGTTTTTTTTTTAACAGAAACAAATGGCGTTTTCTACCGAGTTGTTCGGGGCAAATCCGACAAACGTTATACTATCCTATCTTTCAAGTTGGATCGAACTGCACATGATTATATTTATTATAATCGGTTAAGTGGTTTAGGAGTCCATTGAGGACAAACATTGTGACACGAGAATTATATATGTTAAGATATATATAGTAGATATCGTTCCTATTTTCGAGAATTATAAGATTGTTAATAATAATCAACTTTATTTTTTTCAAAAGTCTATTATGGGTTATACCCTGTGGTTTGCCACAACGATGTTAATTCTTCAGATTTGTTATTCTTCAGAAAATAAATTAGTTGCTTGGTAAGTAAACTAAACTAAACTAAAATTAAAGGGTTAAAAATAAATTCCACTAAAATAGTTTTAAATATAATTTGGCAATAAAAACATTTTGTTTCGGCGATAGTTTACAGGATCTTTATTGTTTCGGCAACATTGTTTAGAAAACTAATATTTGATATAAATTGCAAATTGAGCGCTGAAAAATATGCACCTTGTTGCAAATATGCTCCCACTGTACTTAGTTTTTATTTAATTAGCAATTCAGCTTTCCTTTTCACCAATGATTAACGTAGTTTTTCCCATGAGTTCTGTTTTAAGATGTTTTTTTTTTTTGGTTGTTGAACAAACTTTTAAATTCAACGCCAGTGCTCGGTGTAAAAAGCTGAAACAAGCAATGATGGAGCGAATGGAATGACTGGAGCGATAGTATTATACTCTTTGTAAGTGCGCAAATAGGAGAATGTGCTATCTGAATAATATCAGTATCAGTATTTCATAATGCAATTTATTTAAGTAATGCTTTTGAAAATTGCAATACGTTTCATTTTACAATTGATTTATGTCGCATTTAAACAAAATTTGTAAATTTTAAATTGGTACAATTGTATTAATATGATTGTTTGTTATCAAAGAGAAACTATGTTAATATCAAATATACACATTAATAGCTAAGTGATAAGCAAACTGCACAAACTCTAAACAAAGTTTGAGCTCCCTGTGTTGGACTCTTTTTACGAATTGCTCATAGAAACTTGGTAAACGAGACTCTTGGAACTCTTGATCTGTAGTTTTCTAACTATATATTATATAAGTATACTGCCCTGCAACTGAGAACATACACCTAAGACACACTAAACGCCCAGTTTCATAGAAAATTTTGAACACAAATTCAGTTACTGAAGGTGTCCTCAAGGCGAGGACACAGGCATAACTCCAACCAAAATATTGAAATTCATGTCATGTTTCATTTATACCTACAATCAATTTGCGACACCATGTACAAACCACCTAACAAACTACACATTTTATTTTCTTCATTACTGAATACGTGATCCATGTTTATTTAGTATATATGCATATATTTTATTATAAAATTTAACGTGATTGGTTCCAAGATTTTTCTGAGCTAAACATGTTTCGCCACAAGGACATCTTCTGTAACTCACATTCTAAAACACATTCGGTAACACTAAATACACGAAAAACAATAGTTTTACGAGAGGTTATTCGACTACAAACACTGAAGAACCTAAAACATTTCACTCAATTACTCAAAGTATCAAATTTCGAAATTTGTTACTGACGATGCCAAAGATGTATGCCCAAAAAATGTAACTTATTAATCAAAAATTTTAAATTAATATAAGTTTAAAATATATACACATACTCGTTTGGTAAAATATGTTTGCAAACAAAATATTTTATACTTGTCGTAGGTCCAGTCAAAATCTATAGCAGTGTTATCTTACAAAAGTTGGCTCGTCAAAGCGAATTCAGCTTGGTAAGTGATATTTTTATTTGTATTGAGCATTTTCGTATGTCATCTATAAACAATTTTCTTTATGAACTCGGCAATTCAAATGAGTTTAATGCATTGTTTCTAGAAATATGACGCGGAATTTCAGCTACATCAACAATGGTTCGATCCGCGATTGCGACATGACCCGAAATGCAAAGGCGATTATCTTAACCATATTTTCTTTAATGATAACATTTGGTTGCCAAACACGCATATCACCATGAAGGGTAACATTACGAATGTGGGCCCCTCTTTATTAAAGATTTTTCCAAATGGCACCATTGATTATCTTACACGGTAACGTTCCTCGAATTTATCAAACTGAAACACTTGTATTATGTGAATACGTGTATGTATGCTTATCATATTGTGCATACATTATTTGTATTAGTAAATCAATGTGAACTTAATTTTATTTGAAGTTCTTTTGATGTTATTTTAGATATGATATCATACTTTCTTGCCAAGGCAGCATGGCTACAATCCCATTCGACACCCAAATCTGCGCATTTGAGATGGAATCAGGTGAGTAATACAAAATGTTATTTTATATCGCGATACTCTTCATTACAAAAAAATGTGATTTAGCTGCGAATAAACGGAAACTCGTTGAGTTCGTTTGGAATCCGATTGCTAATATCTACTGGTCATCATCATCTACAACACAGCACAATTCTAATTTAGTACAGAAGCAAGCAGTGACTGATTCAATAAAGAAAGGTAGGTCAGAGAACTAGATGGTCAAAATCAATTACTGTTTCAAGGTTTGTTGTTTGTTTAAGAAATAACTGCATTTTTAAATAATGTTTTGATATTTTAATATTTTTTTCTTAAATATTAGCGCACTTAATAAATATGTGATATTAGACTTTAGCCTAAAACAATTCACTTATTTTACAATTTACTTATTGGTTACAATTTTAATAAGTGCATTTCATTTTTTTTTTGTTACTGACCGCGGAGCCATAAATAGGCATATTTAATTTAAGTGGCTTGAAATTAACGGTTTAACAACGTGGACTCACGTAGGGGAGACCGGGGTTGGTTGTAACATTTTTTTTTAAAAGTGATTTAACTCTTGGTTTATATGGTTGTTTCAAATGAATATTGGCTTGTTTTATTCAGTAATTACTCATAATTCAAATTTGATAATAATTTAATTAAACCGCCCACAATTAATTAAATAAATTGATGAATTCTAGAAAAAGTGTCATGTCACTTCTTACCCCACACTAGGGGCTGGTTGTTACACTATATGGGGTAAATTGTTACAAAAAAGAATAATTTAATCTCAGACTTTTTATTAACAATAGTTAGTTTTAACTTCAACAAAAATTAAATAATATTGTTTATAATGGATCATAAAAAAAGTTTAATCGTCAAAATAATATAATAAAGTACTTTTTAATTTTAAATAGAATTATTAGTTTATTTTAAACAAAACTCATAAGTATGTTTTTTTAGGTATTGCTGTCTTATTAATAGAAAATAGAAATTAAATAAAAGTATAGTTTTCTTTAAATTAAACCTTAGACATACAATTTTTTTAGTTTCTCTGCTTTTCAAAAAAAAAATTATAAACTTATAGCTCTCTATATATTTGTGATTTGTCACAACCTGCCCCGAGAAAATGTCACTTTTAGCCCCAACACCAAAATTAACCTCTTTAAATCAAACAGTGAAATTCAACTATTTTTTAAGCTAAAAAAATTAAACGCATTGCTAACAGAAAGAGTTTTAGAATATATCCCACAATATATATATATATATATATATATATCTGTTTTTCTCAATAACAAGTTGCAGACCAAAATAACTAAAAAATAAAAAAGTAACAAACCTGCGTTTTTGGCGGCTGCTTACCCGGGTTTCTCTTACAAGAATACCAGCGCCACTGGCTCACACGGTATGCTGGCCGATAGTGGCACCACCCTTTATTTCTTTGTAACGTCACTATAACATTATCGGTTTGGCTACAGTAGCCGCTGTAACAACGTACCCCTGTCACAACCAACCCCGGTCTCCCCTACGTAGAAGATATAATATTTAAACTCAAGCCCTTTGAATCATCGAAATTCGCTTGCACATGTCTTGAAAATGTAAAGCTATAAATGTCGGATCGCTGGCCGAAAAATGTTGCGCTGCGTCAACAACACTGAATACAGCCTTGAAATTATTTTCAAGGGAGAAGTGAAAATATGCTTGTGGCATGCTTGGCTGTTTTAAATACTCCATATCGCCACCCCCCGTTTAGTCACTTTTTGTGAATCACAGAAAAACAGAAAAGACATGAGAGAATTGTCTTTGTTTTCAGATGATAACAGCCGCCTCAAAGTAATCTTACAGTTTACACGAGATCGCACTTGGTACTACCTCGTCCTGTTTATTCCAAGCAGCATTCTAGTGACCACGTCGTTCAGATCTCTATGGCTTGATTGGAATCCGTCATTTCCTAGATTGTCTATGGGTATTGATTTTATTTATCCATAATCCTAGAATATGCATTATTATGTTTTAGGAATAATATCAGTGTTATTTACTTTTGGACAACTCATTCTCAGTCGTTTAAGATTACCGACGAATCTAACTGTTATAAACATCTGGAATTACACCTGCATGATTTTCACCTTTTTGGCTCTGTTGGAGTCCTTCATCAACTCCCTGGCCCAGAGGGAAACATCACGTAATGCCGACCATATTGATCAACAGGTAATTTCTGTTTACAATTTAATCTACTTTAGCCCAATAGCACTAGTAAGTTCAATTGAAACTAGATTGGCCACACTATTTGTTTATTGTTTAAAATTCGATAATATTGATAATGCATTTTGCATCGTCCACATTCTTTAATTGTGGGTGGCAACAAAGTCGAACTTTTGGAAACTGACGAAGGATTTTGTTTTACTCTTTAATAACAAAAACACTTTCTGTTTTAAAAAATCAATTTAATTATTTTTCTGAAACATTGTAAAGGGTAATGAGTATGTATTTTACAGAGAAACAGGGAAGCCCTTATTCGTCGGATGAAGGAAATTGACACTATTGCCCGCTACATATTTCCGATTGCATTCATTTTTATTTTAATACTTTCTTATTCGTATTATTATTTTTATTTTAACGACAAATATTATAATGCACAAAACTAAGTTTCCTGTTTTCCACGCTCGGCTGCTTCCCATCTCTGTTGAATTTGAATATTTTCTATTTTTGGTTCAAAGGTGTGCATAAAAAGTCACAATATGTGAAAACTAAAACTCATTTGTTACACAGTTAACTAAATTGCTAAATAGGGCTTGGGACAATTATTTTTTACATTTTTGAAACGATTTTTAAGACTTAGATCGCTACCAGAGCAGCAGCGGCGCAATGTAAGCAAATGTGCAGGCGCCAACTCCGCCCAATACTACTTTATACACGACCTAGGTCGTTCGTGTGTAAAGTACTATTTCATATCTCTAACAACCGTGCGAAAACTAGCGTGTTAAAGACGGAAGTAGAACAAACATATAATCAAATTATATATATAAACGTGAATTTGGGAATGAAAAACGAAAATTTTGGACAATGAGCAATTTATCTCTCCACATAGTCTCCTTTTAGTTTGATACACTTGACCCAGCGATTCTTTCATGCAGGATATGACCCAAGCGGTCTTTTGACATGCCTACCGTCTCAGCTATGTTGCGCACCGTCAATCGCAATTTCCCCTTTAAAAACAAGACTCAAATCATCGATCGATCTTTTTCCATTTGTCGAAATCACGCGGACACCCACTTTCACACGCGGACGCCGCAAAACTAGAAATTTGATTTGGCCGACATTTTAACCCATCTATGAAGATATAGGTACTACACGAGAGAAACGTAGACAATATAAGATGTTGAGTCAAAAAGTTGATAATATAGTTGGTAATATATTTAACACAGAATTCAAATAGATGTCATAATAAAATTAAAGTTAAACAACTAACTAACAGATGTAGAAGTAATATACCTATCTGGAATTTTGAGAAACGTACTCATTTACCAAGAATACGTATTTATAGTTAGGTAAATATAATATTCATTCGAGAAACTATTATTGTTCTAATAAATGGAGATTAAGCTCTAGGTACAGCCGGTTTCACCATCATTCATAACACTTTAAATATAACAAATTTATATGTGAAATTTCAATTGATATGCATTTATGATGATGCGATATATTTTATTATGATTCCTTAGATAAAATACCGTGATACTGGTTTTGAGATGCATAATAGATGAAATGTTTGCAAGTGAATATTTTTATAACAATCTACTGGAAAAACGAATGTGATCTGATGTGATTTAAGAATATGATATAAAAAGGCAGAAATGGTCTATTTATGAGTATAACAGTACAAGATGGAACCAAAGTATAAATTTATTACAAGAGAAATGAAATTGCATGTAAAAAGAGAAGATAAATACAAAAATTTAATTATATTATAGTCAAATAACAAAGTACTTACTTTTATATAAGATTGAAACTATTTTTGGTATTTGTAAATTATTCAGCTATATCTAAATGAAAAGGAGAAGAAAAAGAAGTATAAAATTGCACTCGTATATGTAATTCAACTCAACAAAAAATATTGTATGTTGGATGTTATAATCTGTTGAACAATAAATGTATAATATTCATGTGGCAATTAACACTCTTCATTATTCTGCACCCTTAAACTCTTGTTCCTATCCTTGACATGGGTAAGAATTATTCCCGCAAATGTTTGCGCACCGAAATGATTGCAATACTGACTATAAATCAAATGAAAAACGCGTTGAAACAATTCATCAACAACATTCGGCACTTGCTATTAAAAGCATCACGTGCAGAATCGAACGCAAAATAAAATGTGAATTGACATTTAGTCCACATGGATTCTACTATGACTACTGTGTAATTTTACTAACATCACACTGCGATAATCTCTCAGTTCGGGCAAAGAACCGACAAGTCCTTGAGGAGTCAAAACGCGTCGATAACACTTCAAATTGTTAGTCAGAATATTTAGAAAAACACACGCAAGGATACGTGTGCAACTTGCTTCGTCCCGTAAACTTATTTTTTGCCTGCATTTGCATTCCTCTTACAAATATATTTGATAATATTTGAACTCTTGTAAAATCAACACTAATTTCCCTTCATTGCCAATGGCATCAAACATCAACCCCGATTTATAACTATTTTAACTTGATGCGCGGTTTAATTTAAGGGCCACGTGACATAAGAAATCAGGTGATTATTTTATTATATAATAAATAATAATCAATTATAAAAAGGGTAAATGATCAGTGCATTCAAATAATACCTTTGGTTTTAGAAGTTTTAGAATTGATTTGATGATGATTGGATATTTGCCTTCACAAAAATATCATCTAATATGATACATAAAGTATATTTGTTTATTTGTTTATTTGTTTATTTAACGCCGCTCGGCAATTATACATAATAATTTACATAAAAAAAAGATATAAAATATGATAATTTTACAACATAATGAGATCGTCATACCAGCACTAACTTTCGCGCAGCACACTTCACAGCATTGTCAGTATATCCAGGGGCAATTCTCATCAATTTCAATTTCAGATAGTGTTTCAAGCGTTCAATCCTGTTCATAGTTGCGCGTTCAATCAAATTCGAATTTTCACTTTGCGATTGCTAATCCAACAACCTGCACGCCTTGCCACTTGTTGCTTTTATCTAGCCCTTGTTCTCATACTATAGAAAGGTAACTCGATTTGTAGTGTTTGACTCAATAATATTACTGAAGAATGGATTTTGGACTGAGAGAGTTTTAGTCGATTTGCACTGGTTTATTGATGAATCGACAATTGTATCTCTCTCAATTAAAAATCCAAAAGGTTTATTATCACAAAGCACAAAATATTTAAATATAGAAATGTTTAGTGTTTTTTTGTATGTTAGTTCGCCAGTATATACCCGTACTTATGTTTTTGTCATTTAATTATAAGCTTTTGAATTTGAATCGGTTTGCAACCGATATTGTATAAGAAAGCCAATTCACGTTATTGATTCGTTTGTATTCAGTCTATTAAATGTCAAGCACACAACCGGATATTGTAAAATTGTCCAAAACATTGATTTTCCGACGTATTGAAAGAACAATGCTGAAAATATGCAACTGATTCGTTATTACTTTGTAATAACTTTTGTCATATTTGTTGGATTCAAATGTTGTATTCTATATAATATCGAATAAAATAAGTTAATTTTTGAAGTTTACACATTTTTACAATTAAACATGTTTTTTCATACAGCAGATAAATATATTCATATATTTAAATGGTTTTATTATCAAAATAATATAATAAATATAAAGAAGAAGAAAAAGAATCTTTTATTTTTAAGCTTAGTGATTATGGAATTCCACCACGTGAACGCCGCTACTATCCAAGTCTTAAGAAATGATTTTAACATCATTAGAACAACAGCGAACACTCCAAAGAAAAATGAACTGTTTATAAATGCCTATTAGATAAACCCTTTAAAATTAAAATTAAATTATAACACATGCCGGACTTTCAAATGGTAATAAGACCTGAATTAATCCATGATATGTTCCTAAATCAAATTAATTGTTGCGTCAAATAAAAATATTAGCTTTTATGATATTTCCGAAATAATTTACGGAATAAATGCATTGTGAAGAGAAATGCCTATTGGCTCATGTCAGTTCACTCATTGACAAAGCATCAAAGAACGGCTGTTGAGTGCAATTATGTAGACCCGGCATTTTTTGATAAAGCACGGTGATGACATACATGATAAAAAACCCTGTTCACTAACAGGCTAAACTGCAAAAAACTAAACGAACTTACATTTCTGTGAAATTGCCAGAGCCATAAAAATGTTCTAATATTGATTTTTGTAAAATGGCATGCATTTTAATGGACCAATAATTGGCAAAGATATTGATAGTGACAACGAGTGCACCTTTGACGCACTTGTTGCACCAGCAAGGTATCACTTTATTGTACAGCAGCGCAAATATCACAAAACCAATTTGGACAAATTGTTGGCAAATTGGATCGGAGATATTCAAACTAAAGGAAAGATACTTTTTATTAAAATATATTATTTATTATTATAATAAATAAAATTTGGAGGGGAAATCTAAATAAATTAATAAGACTGTATCTTATTCCATTTACTTTTTTAGTTGGCTTCTGACTGTTTTCATCCCATTTTGATGTTAATTAAGGCACTTCTAAGACTTGGATAGTAGCGGCGTTCACGTGGCGGAATTCCATAATCACTAAGTTTAAAAATAAAAGATTATTTTTCTTCTTCTTTGTATTAATTATACAAATTTAGATAATAAAACTATATAAATATATAAATATATGTATCTACTGTATGATAAAATATGTTTTATTGTAAAAATTTGTAAACTTCAAAAATAAACTTATTTTATTCTATATTATATAGAATACAACATTTAAATCCAACAAATATGACAAAAGTTATGACAATATAATAACGAATCAGTGGCATATTTTCAGCATTGTTCTTTCAATACGTCGGAAAATCAATGTTTCGGACAATTTTACAATATCCGGTTGTGTGCTTGACATTTAATAAACTGAATACAAACGAATCAAATACATGAATTGGCTTCCTTATACAATATCGGTTGCAAACCGATTCAAATTCATAAGCTTATAATTAAAAGACAAAAACATAAGTACGGATATATACTAGCGAAAATTAGTCAATTAAACTTGTTGAAACAAAAATTACATAAATTGAACACATGTACCACATAATATTGACCCAATTGAATTATATTTTTATACTACAGAAGTAAATTTATTTTTGTCAAGTCAAAGTAAATGTAGTAGTCATTAATACAACAAAAAATTACAATAATGTTATCATGTGTTGTTTAATGAATATAATATACTAGCGACACGCCTCGGCTTCGCACGGAAGTAAAAAACCGCATCAAAATCCGTTGCGTAGTTTCAAAGATTTAAGCATACAAAGGGACAGACAGAGAAAGCGACTTTCCTTCATTTCATTTTATTATTTACAATACCTACAATATTACAAGAGTAAATGCTCAGTGCTTTCAAATAGTGCTTTTAATTTCAGAAGCCTAAATTAATTGAATATCTAATAAATTAATATCCAAAAGAGCAATTCGCATTAATTTCAATTTCTGATAGTGTTTCAACAGTTCAATCCTGTTCATAGTCACGCTTTCAATTCAAACTTGAATTATGCCACTTGTTGCTTTTATGTAACCCTTGTACTCGTACTCTAGAAAGGCCACTCGGTTAATAGTGTTTGGCAAAATAATATTAGTGCAAACTGCCAGTACAATGAAAGTTCTTTATCACATGGCACAAAATATTTGAGTAATACACATTTCTATTGTTACTTGCATGTTAGTTTGCCAGTGCCTACTTTTGTTTTTGTTATTTAAATATATGTTTTAAAGTTTGTAAATACGAGTTTGCATCAATTTGCAAATGATGGCTATTGCGCAATACCAAATATTGCGTTGGAATTTAGTTGATTAAATGTCAATAACACAACCGGATATTGTAAAATTGTCCTAAACATTGATTTTCAGGCGTATTGAAAGAACAATTCTAAAAATATGCAGCTCGTTGCAGTATGTATTGTTGCATTTTTTTTAAAGTCGTTGTATTTTATTAATTGTAGTCGAATTCGTTGAATTATCATATTTTGGAAGGCGAGTCATTCGGATTATATAGATTATGGCATTGATGATTTTATTTTGTATTTGCTACTATATTCAATAAAAGTTTTAATTTATGAACGAATTAATAAAATGAATTTCCCAAAACAGGTATTGGCACAAAGTAACATTATCAGATAGATGAATATACAGTGGAACGTCGGTAATCCGGTACACAGCTTAATTCGGCACACTTTGTAATCCGACATGGTCATATGCCATGTGCTTGTACTTTAAGATTTTTAATTTGTCGGATTAGAAGGTTTTTTTTGTAAAAATATTCCGAACTATAAGGTTTTAGGCATTTTTCATCCGACACTCTCCTGTAAAGTGATTGTCGGATTACCGGCGTTATACTGTAATTATATTGAATACTATATTATACCACTATAGAATTTTGTGAAATTAATAAATAAGTTTTTTTAATTACATCACGTAAATCTTGCTACTAATCAAATCTTTAAAAAAAATTATTATCAAAATGAAGTATGAAGTATCTTAAAATTGCATTTTATGGGAGTTGTAGTGTGCTGAATGCGTGTGTACACGATATTAATACAATCATTTACAGATTAAAATTTGTCTTGTATACGAATAAGTTAGAGTACAATCTAAAGGCAGTAAAAAAATAAATAAAATAAAATGCTATTGGGCGTTAGTTTAATTAATTAACGTACTCACTAATTGCAAAACGCTCGCGGCGGGTTCTCCTTGTAAATTCTACCTGAAAAAACATGAACTGACTAGAATTCTATTGTTTACGAAGATCATTAAAAGAGTAGTTGTAACTTTGTTATTCTACCTTTATCCACATTTTTTTGCAGTTCCTTGATTTATAGATTGTAGTCATTTCACGAAAATTTCAATAATAAATGCAAGAAAAACCAACCAACATATAACAAACTGAATAAATAAAATCATTTGTTTTAGCACGAGACTAATATTTCGCGTAATTAGTTAAATAAAATTGAATAATCCTAACCGTTTGAAAAATCGCCTGTAAATAGAAATGCATTATATTATACATATTTTGCCGTATCCAATTCTTCGACTCATTGCTATCAATTAATCAATCGGCGACTTTAGCCGATGTAGATTTAACTATAAATTTATTTTGATTACAATTCCAAATTTTATTTATTTTTAAACATTTTTTAACACAAAGTAGCTTTTTTTTTAGGTAGAATATCTCCGATCAATTTTTTCATCAATTTGTCAAAATTGATTCAGTGATTAGGCACTACTGTATTATATGGTAATACCATTCAAATGCTGTAAGTGCATCAAAGCTGCGTTCCGTAACACGATCGACATATCGTACATACTCGTAGTTACATTTTTTCGTTGCACTGCTTTGAATACAATTAGTCAATCTAATGAATTTGGCTGGTAATTGGCTTATTATTCAACCGCGTAACTTTAATTGCTTGTTAATTGCCGGCAGCTATTAGGATGAAGTACATTTGATTTTGCTTCTATCAAAGAGAGTTTTAGCACTACATTATGATATTACGCACACATAATTGAACTTGCGAAGCGAGGTGATACAATAATTCTGATGAGTTACCAGACGCAACGCATTGGGGATAGCACAAGTCCTTGACAATATATTAGCTGGCTAGCATAGAATTGAAATATCGGTATCAATAATAGTATTCAAATTTTTTTGAATGAATCAATATTTATCAATGTTATATTTTGTACAATATGTCTCGATTGCATTATCGAAAGCAATAATCCAAAGAAAACAAATTGATTGCTATTTCCGCACAATTTATCATAGTTAAACGATATTTTGTTAGAACAAAGCCAATTGCAAGCCAGTACAAGTGTTTGTCAAAACCTGATGTGAATAAGCTTCGGAAGTTCATTAAAAGCCTTATAGCACATCTACTAGTTTGACAAAACACTGCATTATTTACTATACCTTATTCCCAACCCATTTTCTTGATGACTCAGAGCAAGATAAATTCAATTTCTGCTGTGGCAGATTGGAAAAATGTTATCTCCGAAGCTATGATAAATTCAATTTTAAAGTCTGGAGCATCGTTGCATCAGTAATATTTGTATACTACATACTATACATTTATTACAAAATGAAACGTGATTAAATTAGTAATTAAATTTAAAATTACAAAGGTTTGGTTGGAGTTATACATGTTTCGCTTCGAGGGCATTTCGATTTTTATCTGAAACGCCTGAAACGCGCCACTAACGCGTGAATAAATTGATTGTCCATTTCAATCGTTTATACCGTTAGCAGATACAAGTTCAGTGAATTTTTTTCTTTCCGAGTAGTGTTTAGGATAGAAACATGAAAATAGTTCTTCACAAGTTTTGTCCATGGTGCAATGATTTCAAGAATTCCTGCAACGCTTTTGATTTGAATTAGGGCGTCTGCTTTACTTCCGGTCGACTTATTCCGAGACGTTGTATTGTTGAATAAAGCATATACAGTGGAATCCCGGTATTTCGTCAAAGACTTGGCAGGGCATTCTCGGATTATAGAGTGTTGCCTAGGAGACTCGGTTGCCAACACATTTTGCGATTCATTTTTATCTTATAGATAATAAATTTATTAATTTTAAGTGTATTTGGCATGATTAGTTCAGTTAATCAAGTTTTTCATACTTACACACTTATAATAAGTAAGTTACTTTTTATCTACACTAAAATTTATCTAGAAACTAGAAATAATTTATATGGCAAAACAACGTTTGCCCGGTTAACTAGTGTATGTATAATATTATAGGTTAATTTTTGCAATCAAAAATTCAATAGTACATCATAATAATGAAAGTAATAGGAATGAAGGGTGATGAAAATCCGGCGGCAATTTCTGGGTGGTAACCTTGGCGGCGGCATAGTTGTGGGGAGTGGTGCGTACCGAAAATAGGGAAGTGGAACAATACACACGCGCTTATATGGACTAAGTCGTGACTCGGCCCACAAACTGTTAGAGTCCGATCGAAACTGGTATTTCAGCCGAAACCGAAACTGGGATTTACATCAACATACCTATTTAAACATGTGTCCAAATGTATACGCTAAGTTGGTGGGGACACATGAACAGAATGAATGATCAAGCACAAGCAAAAAGAGTGTGGATGGCAAGACCGAACAGAAGTAGAAAGTTAGGAAGACCAAGGAAAGAATGGGATAGTCTCGTAAGGGAAATTCTGAATAACAGAAAATTAAGTATAATTGAGGCAAAAAGGCCATGCCTAAATAGAAGAGAGTGGAAAGGATTTGTAAATACGAAAATTAAATTAATGCGCCAATGAAATGAAATAATTGGTATTCTGTCAAATTAGCTGGCTATAGCTCCATGCCAAATTTTATCCTTTTTTATACTAATTTCAATTTTGGTACTACGAACAGTTTTACAAGTTTTGGCAAAGGAGAATTTGCAAAACATGCAAACGATCAATTGCAACATATGAAATTGCATGCTTATTCGGAAGAAGTGGTAATAAAACTTCCGTCCAATCACCAATAGTTTATGCATTACCTGTTGCATTGGGATTGGCAGTTGCAGTGATAGGAGTGGGGTAATTTAGTCCATATATGCGTTCGTTCCTCTAGCGGGCACTTCTTCTTCCGACCTGGTACTCTTCGGACCTCCATACTGCGAGTACTATCGACACTCCTGAAGTATCCCGAGTAAAGTGTAACATAAACAACAAAAATATTGGCAGCACGTATTCAAAGAGGCAAGCAAACGGAACGGTAAGTACTATCTTTACTATTTTTTTTATAAACATGCGGACAGTACTTATATCCAAAATTCGTTTGTAACATCAGAAATCACATTGCTTTTTTTACGCGATTTATATTAGCTTCACATGTATGTTTGCTTGCTTGCTTGTTTGTAACCGACTTCTTTCTACGCAATATTGAGCCACTTTACGGCGACAAATTTTATTCAATTTCAGCAGATTTTTCTGGAGCCGATGACATTACAATAATTTGATAAGCATATACCAATATCCTGATTAGGATCGTCAGAATAAATAAATTTCTTTATGAATCCTTAGCATGAGAGTAAGAGAGTAAGAGCTAGTTTGCTATTTGTGCATGCGTGTTCTTTCGGATTTGGTTCAGCTAAACGAAGTGAGAAATCAAATTTATCAATTGGTGATAAATCGAACTAAAATATAGAAAACAAAACACAGTTAAAAAAAACTAGAAAACACGCTTTTGTGAGAAATTGAATTCAAAAGTAAAAAATAATTTTAGAGTATAGAAACAAAATGAACCATGGAAAATATAAGTACTAGGGGAAGGTAGCCTAAGTTGGACCACCACGATATCCGCGGAAGTTTGTGCAAAAATAAACAGGCCCCTCGTTTTACTCGTATTTATTAACAGTAGATGCAACCACTTGAGTTAAAACTTGCGTTGTGTTTGCATCGTGACAACAATTTTGTGTATCATTAAAGCTATTAAGCCGTCTAAACGTAAGCTTTAACGAGTATTATTATATCATCTGAAAGCTTATTAAGATTATCGTTGATCATTAAATATAAATTCTTTAAGTAGCGCAAGTTGGACCGAAAACAAACATCTAAATTGGACCGGGGTTTTAACAGGGAGAACGTTTATCATTTCTTCGACCTCTTAGAAAAGCTTGTAGACGAGCACAACTTTTCGAAATGATCTAGTGTATAAAATCCGCACTTGGGTTCATACAAAATGTGCTTGTATATAAATGTGATTGCCGCTAAAAAAGAGCGGTTCAATATTAGGAAACCGGTTTCTAAATGTGGACCAGTAACATAATTTTTTTAAATTAAAATTTGAAGAATATAAATATAATGTTTACTTAAATAAAAATTCTTATTTTGTTGGTACGCCTTGTGAGTTGCATTTCCGTAACTTATTTTTGATAAATGCTCAAAATTGGGCGACTTTCTCCTAGTACCTACTTATATTTTGCGTGTATCATTTTGTTTCTATGTTTAAAAATTATTTTTTACGTTTTAGTTTAATTTCTCATATCTACGCAGTTGTAGCAATAGTAATTAAACTTATAGTTGGATAGATAATTGATATCAAATTGAATTTTGTAAAAAAAATACACTCCAGATCTAACTTCAAGAGTGCCATCGGAAATGAAAACTTAAGTATTCATATTGTGTATATTTATATATTTTGGAATTATTAGGGCATAATTACGTCAGATTTGTTTTATTGATCAGTATAATAATAAGTACTATTATATATGTAATAAAAGAAACTTTACAATTTATATTACATTACTAAGTTTGTCTTTCGGAAAAGTCAATTTTTACCATCACCATTAGCAACTTCATCATCGCTAATATCTAAAACTGATACAATAGTTTTAAAAGGTGGTTGAAGTAAAAAAAAAACATAAAGTATAAACATTTTACAAATATTATATCAATTATTAGTAGGCACATATGTGTAATTTTATAAAGTTCTCATATACATATATTCCGTTTCGTCACTTGATACACATACTTTTATGAGATGTTTTTATATATTTAGCCTTCAAAACCCAAAAATGCATTTTTAATGCATTACTTTGTGTTATAGACTAAGAGCCCGTGACGGCCAGACATTCGTCATTTTAGGAAAGATGAAATTTTGTCCATGTGTTTCTCCAACACAGGTAAGAACGATCCCCAATTGTGAAACCTGGATCGTGGTCAAACAGAATCGAATTCTCTCAATTCTATGTGGTTTTGTTTCTTTTTATCTACTAAAACCATCATCTTTTGATATTGCACTACATTCGTGGCACACTAGTTTATGAAGACTTAAGCAACCGAGAGCCGAATATTGGGTGTTAATAATCGGTATATGATAGTGTTTTGAGGCTCAAAGTTGGAAATTAATTTGGTTTGAGTGCACTTGGAGCGGCGGGCAAGGTTAGCTATGCGGTAGTTAGCACCAGTTAGCACAAAGCTAAACTGATGACTTTGGTCCAATAAATACGAGAGTGATGTAGTTCGGAGTTATCACCTGTCAACTATGTGCTTTAATACATTGTAAAGCTGGTAAACGCTTAACTTCAAACACTGTACATATAATTATATTATGCGCATCTCGCCTAATCTTCTAAGTTGAGAAGCAGCGTCACTTATTATTAGCAACTCGACTAGATAAGTCAAATAGTATAAGACATTTGTTCAAATTATAATTAAAAACACAAGTAATAATAAACGTACTATTTTAAACTCATCCGAATCCGAGTGTTCAATATAATTGGCGCAGCCGGTAGGATAATCGGAACGGTAGTGTTAATTAAACCAAAAAAACCGGTGATTATCAAATCTTCGACCGATTCCACCTGAACCAGAGTGTCTCAACTTCGAAAACATAAACTTTGCAAAAACGAGGGCATCTACCCCTGCGAGGAAGGACCGTTGGCCACATCGCACCTTCGAGAAGCGACTTATCCAAATCGTCCAGACATCGTCATCGTCATCGTCTCCGACATGTTAATGGCGCAGATCTTGCTGTAAGTCCACGTTTCCTTTTTATTCCTTTTATATAACGCATAAAGCATACAATTGTTAAAATTTATAAAAAGACAAGAACCTACATTGGTTAATGTCCGTGAATAGAATGGCACAACCGGTTAATATCGAAATTCAACTTGCAAAGGACATGGTTCCTGAATTTCTAGGCGGCTCGAAAGACTTGCCTTATTTTTTAAAACAAGCGGAAGCTTTCCTAAATTTACTAAGGAGGGATCCTTCAGAGTGCTTATTCAATAGAATTTTATTCGAGAGTATTAAATCAAAAATCAAATGTGAAGCGAGAGAAGTATTAATAAGTGCTAATTGCGATACGTGGGCAAATCGTAAAAACGCGTTAGTTGCCAAGTACGGCGATCCGCGTTCGGAAGAGCTTCTTGTCCACGATCTCACGACGTGCTATCAAAAGCAAGATGAAACCTACGAGTTATTTTACGAAGATGTAAAACGCAAGCTCCGCGTTCTCACCGAGCACGTATCCTTAAGGACAGCGAACGTTGATATAAGACAGCATAAAATTACCATGTATGAAGGCCAAGCTTTAGCCACATTGTAACGGAGCCGTATTCTGCTCATTTGCTAAACGTAGCTTGTCACACCTTAGAAGCGTGCATCTATGAATGCCGACGCTTCGATAATCATATGACACAAACATCTTTTATGAAATTCTTACGAGGAAAAGATAAGACTCAAACTGCGCAGCAACCGGCAAGAAAAAATACTCAACTAACTTGCCACCTCAACAAAATACAATAAAATGCAAATAAAATATCACATCAACAAAATTACGTCGGATATCAGAAATTTCCACGCGGACCAATTAACATGCCAAAACCAATTGCAAATAAACAAAACTATCCAACAAACTCTCAAGTTTTTGGACACAATAAAAATAATGCTCCTACGCCGATGTCTGTTTCTACAGCTAGAACAAATTGGGTACCGAGTCGAGTGAATAGTAATAACTATTTTAAACAAACTGGACCTCCTAACTTTATACCTGAGGAGCTCTATAATGTACAAACAAATGAAACAGAATACGACGAACAATACTACGAGATGAATAATGAACACGAATATGAGGAAACAGACGGTATGTTTTCGGATACAAATCAAAACACGGATTTTTGCATAGAAGCCTCGGACAACCAACGTTAGACTTGAACACTATTCAGTCAAAACCGCGACTACCTTTCATAATTATTCCAAAATTTAATTTAAAAATTTTTATTGGTTCTGGAGCAAGTAATTCGATTATTATTAATCCAGGACAACTCTTATTTTTCAAATTTTCAATTCAAAAAGTAATTCGAAGTTACTAGCTTAAAGCAAAAAGTAACAAATGATACTTGCATAAAATATCCTACTTTAGAAGATTTTAATATTAATTATTCATTTGAATTCCTAGTCATGGAATGGCAGGATCATTTTGACGTATTAATTGGCAATAATGATTTCGAAAAATTAAAAGTATTAATCGAATACAGAAATTCATTTCTTTGCATAGAAAATAAATGAATTCCATTCTATTTAGAATTAAATTCACACAAATTTGAACCATTCACTCAAAATATTACTGAAACAATTTCAATACCAGTTAACATACTTAGGCCAAATATGGTTTCCAAATATTAATATTAATGATATAATAATTCCGGAATGCATAGCAACAGCTAAAAACGGAATAGTTACCTTACCATTAGAATTACAAACAAAAACGGCTTCAATTAGATTTAACCGCAGAGTTGAAGTACAACCGTTTTATAATTTCAAGATAAAGGACAAAATGATACGTACAATAAAAAGTCAGAATCAACGACACGTCTTGATCTAAATTTACTCTGAGTTGATCATTTGAACGATGAAGGAAGAGCAAAATTAAACGACTTATGCAAAAAATATAAAGACATTTGCAATGATGAAAATTCTGAATTGACATTCCCAAACGCAGTTAAACACAAAATTCGTGTCACAGATGAAGCACCAGTTTATTCAAAGTCATATCGATATCCCGATTCATTACGACAGCAAATTCAAAGTCAAATTAAAAAATTAATTAGTAACAAAATTATCATGTAATCTATGTCACCATACAGTTTACCTGTTTGGATTATACCAAACAAACAAGATGCATCGGGAAAAAATGGCGTCTTGTCATTGATTACCAAAACTTAAATAAGAAAACCATTGAAGATAAATACCCACTTCCAAGAATAGAGG